ATATTGAGAATGTAAGAACGATAATAGACTGGAGTAAAAAGAAATAAGTTTTTTTCTGGAAGGAAAATGTAGAAATGAGTGAAAAAATATTTTTCCAACAAGAAGAATATAATTATGACGATGGACAAGTCTTTTCGGAGAAAAAAGTGTAACAACACAAATAAAAAACATTTTTTTCAGCAGCTACAATGCATGAATGATGATAGACAAGTTTTTTCCGGGAATGAGTAAGTTTTTTTCCTGGAAGGAGATTGCAGAAATCAGCATAAAAAAATTCTTCCAATACGGAGAATACATGTATAACGACGGGCAAGTTTTTTCTGGGAAAAAAGTGTAACAACACAAACAAAAAACAACTTTTTCAGTTGGTAGAATGTAGAAATGACAGTAAGTTGTGTTCGCAGAAAATGTCTACATGTTTTGCTCACCTCTTGCAACCAAAAATACAAGAAATTCTTGCAGGATATTTGCCAAATTCTCAAGGATATAGAACGGAGACACTGACGAGGTTTTATAGGAAATACAACTCATTTTTTAAACTGATTAAGCTCTTCGCGTCATACACATTTTGACATTGTTATTAAAAGCTGGATAGAAAAGAGTTCATTTTGAAGCATAGTTTGCTTGTTTCATCGTGTTACAATAGCTAGGATGTTCATGTAGATTATTTCAACTTATACGAAATTAAAGACTCGAAAGTAGTTGGATAATTTTTCTATGTCAGATGAGCCGCTTTTTTCGCATATATCTTCGCTCCTTCTTATGATTTGACCTTATCCAGGTAGATCTTGAAAAACTACACATACAACGCTCAGATAAACTTCGAGAGTGTGGGTGTGGGTGAGGGTATCCATCTTCTCTTTACCTACATCCACCTCCATATTCATACTCGCACACATCCTCATCAAAATATTTGTCTCAAATGTTATTCCAATCTAAAGTTAGAAACAGTAAATTACTCACATAAAACTTGCATGAGAAGAACTTAATTATGAGTTTAGGGCAGTTGCTCACTGGGACATTTGCTCGCATGAACAGTTACTCGAAAGGACACTTGCTCGTCGGACAGTTGCTGGCTAGGACACTGGCTTGCCAGGGGCTGGGTGTTTAAAGAATAGATTACCCACACCCACTCCAACCACACATTCACACATCCACACCCACACCCTTCTTAGTATTTGGCATTTTGAAATTTTTATAAATATCTTTTTTCTTGAAAATGTGGGTAGAAGTATTATAGCCATCACACACCCACCCTCAAAATAGTTTCAACATCATTCATGGATAGGGATGCGCAGTTTCAGTGCAAATACTGAAAAACTGTCACTTTCAGTTCTGACGGTGACGTATTGTAGCACTGATAACACTGACACCGGCTTCACTGATGTTGTAGATTCACCTAATAGCGTCGGCATCCTGGCGGTTCCACCGCATCAGTGAGGCAGGTGTCAGTGTTGCCAATGCTACGGTGCGCCAACGTTGGTGCTGATAGTACACGGTTTACTGAACCTGCGCATCCCTATTCCTGGAAAAATATCGTTTGTTCTCGTTCTCGCTGTCTTTCCCAGAAAAAAACTTGTCTGTCTTCTCTGTTATATTCTGGTTCCCGGAAAATAACTTCTCTGCCTTCCTTCTTGTATTGTGGTTTCTGGGAAAGTTTCTTCGCTTGCATTACTTCTTTCCCTTTCATGAACAAAAGTTATTTTTCTTTGTTCTCATACATTCTCTTTCCCGGAAAAAAGATTCCCGTTCCTGTAAGAAGAACCGTAAATCATTTCATAGCTCGATGGCAGATAGTAGGTCTGATGTTACTTTTTGTCTATCAGCGCACACGCGTAAAGACTGAAGATTGTTTCGAGTATGTATCAGTTCAACGGAGTTTTCAACTAGTTGGAAAAGTAAGAATGAACAAAATAATATCACCCTTTTGCACATTAATTATAGTATAAAGGAAATAATCTAGTTGAGCACAGCCGTTATTTTGAAGAATTTATCACCAGGAAGAGTATGAAGACAATCCTGGGAATGCAGATAACGACTAAGAAAAGACGGGCCCACACCCACTCTATAGCACTTGCAAGTAACTTCGAAATCTTTTAAAGACCACTAACATACAATCCACAAGGGGTTATGAAAACCACCTCTAGGTAACAAGGACCTGCAGGCCTTTCAAACCCAGGCTCGGGTCCACGAAAACGTTGATTTAAACGTCTCTACTAGATAATCCCCACAAAATTATACGGATCATTTACAGATAGTCCGTGAAGATCTCCATGTGGACTTCCAAAAGTTATAGAAATCAACCCTAAATGTGTCCGAGTAAACTAAAGGAAGCAGCCTGAAGTTGCTTATTAATACTAGTCAATAGCTCTCTAGAGCCAACCTGTTAGAACAGTACAATTCGCATTAGAAATCGATTTGAACAGCTCTTCAAATTCTAACAGTTACTGGACTGTTCGGACATAATGCCAGACTATTCCGACTCACTTCCAGTATTTGAATGTCTTCAGATGAGGCTTTTTCGACTTAATCAATATATAAACAAAAAAATGTTCTTATACGTGAATGAGAAGCTCAGAATTTGTTGGTAAATGACCTAAATTCTTCATGTAAATCAGAAGAAAATGACAAGAAAAAAGCTTTTTTTGAGGGGCCTGAGAAAATAAGAAATGAATCGACATCCACACTCACACTCATCCTCGTCATGATTCATCTACAAGGACAATCACCCACTCCCACTCACACACCCACATCCTCAGGATTATAACCTCTGAATTATTATTCATTTTAAATCAAATCTGCAAAAATATCGATTAAAATCTTGAACTCAATCGAAGATAAACAAAATAATTGGGTTTTCATCGATTATTTGCAGTTGAAATCGACAAAAATCAAAAAAAGAATGATTTACCCTTAATTGTTTTTACTTGAGATAGCGTGCGGAAATTTTGTGTCACCTTTCGCAGTTATACTGCTTATTTTAGATTATAAACACCCTTAACAAGCACCAAATCTAACTGAATTGCCTTTTAGTCAGCGTAATTCATTTCAAAACAAGTGAACCAATCAAAGAATTTTAGATTATTCATTTCCGTTGAATTATACTTCGGCATACATTCACCAACAGGGTCAACTTTGCCTTCGTCGACAAAAAGGAACAACAATATTATAACACACAGCAATTTATATGAAAATATTATGAAAAGTTCTACTGTACATCCGATGTCACCTGAAATATCAGGTTCGAATTTACTGAAAGATAATACTACTGATGCGGATGGCTACCAAGAAAAAAGTATCAACTACATAATTATGATGAAATCTATCGACGACACAACGCATGATTTGTTCTGTATAGACAAAAAGTCGATTCCTAATCATACTATCTCGATTCGAGACGTGATCTTCGACATTATAAAGGAGAAACCAACAATTCAAAAATCTTTTCCAATTGAAATTGCTTTACTATTAGAAAACCAGATCATTGACGATCATCAGAAAGAGGTTGGATCATTTTCTGATTTATTTTCAGGAGCCGTACTATACATATTAATAATTCGATCAAAAAGTGACGACGACGAAACAAAGAGAAAGTAAGTAAGATGCACGAAAATCAAAGTTACAGCGAATTTTTTTATATTTATTCCGATACACCATTCAATAAAGAATTTCAAGGCGGTGAAGAATATGTGTCTTGCGTTTTCTTAAACCTTTTTGTGGTCGAAAAATTAAAAAAAACTCGGAAGGTGTCGAAAACAGATAATTTGGCAACTTTTCTTATTTTCTTCTTTTGTTTAAACATTTTACGAGATAGAATCTTCTAACCTAGTTATTGGTGATAGATGATGGAAAACTGAATAAGAAACTGGTTATAAACCAATTTTAGAATAAAGCATTGGCCCACAGATTCACAAGACTACATGCTCAAAAATCGGAACTTAATTTTGCAAGTCTATCACAGGTTTTTCTAGAGATGCTAGGGTGTGGGTACATTATATTTGCCTCACACCCTCACCCCATACCCTTAAAACTCATAATAAAAATAGAAAATAATCTCAGACGAATCGATATACAGGAGTAAGATTGCAACTCACTGTGAAAAAGTCGTTTTCGATGTCACGATGGTTATTTGAGTTTATGATTCAGTAATGATGATGTTTATACCATTCTGATAGTTTCTTAAGGTATAGAAGGATTGTTGATTTTTAGAGAAGGTTATTTATAAAAATAAAACTTATCTTTACTCCTAGTTCATCAGCTGAATCACTTCAAGAGATAATTCAAGATTCAGCAGCCCAGAACAATCAATCCTTTATATACGAGCCAATATTGCCCCAATCATATCCAATTTCGAAGTGGATTTTTGTATATTACAATCCTAATAAAGGTAAATCCTCGAAAAAAGAGAGCAACCCAATGTCACAGTATCTCATTCTGGAAGATCTCGATTCAGAATCTACATTGACAATGATCAAAGAGAAGGCAGAAAAGTATTTTAATATTTCCGAAGGTAACATCAATTTATACTTCAATTATGACTGCATAACAAAAGGTAGCTCGCTTGAAACGCTAGGGGACTTCCGAAAGAGGTACAAAATGATAGAAAATCAGTCCCTGATATCATTTGCATTGGAGAGAGAATCAAACCAAAATTTTCCTCAATCTACTAGAGTTCGTATGAAAAATAAAATATCCAGTTTCGATACCAATATCAATGCATTATTACTACTTGTGTATCTGCCAATGGTCGATTTATTATTCGATAAGAAATATAAGGAAACATTGGAGGCATTCTTTTTTTGGTGTGATAAGGACAAATCAAAACGTTTAGACAACAAAGAAGCGACCATTGGCGTGTTGACTATGTTAAGGTTGATCTCAACCTGCGGTCTCTCACCAGTTTTTGATGTTTCTAAAAGTCATATAACTAGAAAAAAGTGGCATTTTGAAGACTTTCAACGTTTAATATTGAACACACTTATCATGCATGTGAACCATACGACTCTACTCCATGAAGACGCTTCAGATACAAACTGGATGAAAATGAAGTTTATAAATATAAATAGACGATACTTAGATTCATTGGAGACAACACTAAAAAAGAAAGTGTTAATACCAGAACGTGAAACATGGAAGTTAGTTTTTTGGAGAGAACTATTGATCGTTACCGGAGCCTGTTTGTGCTTATTAATCTTTACGCCAATTGCCATTTTGATTGCTGCATTCATAGCTTTCGCTAAAGATAAGATGGATGCTAATACCAAGTGTGAAAAATGTTGTCTGTATATTACGGCAATTATATTGCTCGGGATCTTGTCTTTTCTCTCGTTGATCGTGTATTACGATGTTTTTGCCATAGCACTATATCATTATTACTCGGACGAAATGTTCGCATGGAATACTGTTTTTCTCGAAGCCTACTGGCCTTTTATCATGCGTATCTTCTTTGTATTTATGTTATGGTTATATTTATTTCGCGAAAAAGCGTATTATAGAAACGAAAGTACGTCAGCTCTTGTCCAGCGTTGTTACGAGGATGCGAAATTTGATTACTGTTGTCAGAATGCATTACCAACTATAGGTGATAACGAATTGGAAAAACGAGATAAAACTGGTAACCAGCATGCAACCCTGCTTGCCCAAGTAATAGCTTTGTTGGCTTATGTAGGATTGATCGGTGTTCACCAGGCAACTCCTGAATTGATTCGTTATTATGGTCAGTTTCTCGAGCTCAATAATTCTACATCACTGAACTACACTGACGAACCATCGCCAGTTTTCTTTGTTCAATCAGCGTATTTTTTTGGAGGATTTACATACAGTTGTATGTTTTCTGTAATAATTTGTTGGGGATTTTCCATCTACGCCGAGCTAGCTGCAGAAGTTGGTGATATCATGGCTAGTGCAACGAATGACGAACGCTTCATTGAAAACAAATCTAATGTCTACTATGATTTAACAAAACCCGCGAATTTAGACTACTTTCTTGCTCGGTTCAAGAAAGCAGTAGCCGATACAGATCGATATGGCTATTGTCTTGCCAGTATCACCTATGCATTCATCGTTGATATCATATTTATACTGATTGCATGGCAACGCTTGTTCTTTGTTACTACTACAATTAATGTAATTGATATTCTTTTGCTAATCGATATTACTGTGCTGTCATTAGTTGTCATCACATTTTTAGTGACTGTTGCCCATATTAATCAGATAATAACAACAGACGCTCAACAACTGATTAAACGAACAATAACGGAAACAACAGCAAAGCTCATAGAATCTCGATCGCTACACAGACGTATAGAGAATGATAAGATTCAATACCTACACAGACGAGGAGATGATGGCGAGATTCAATCTCTGGAGGACTCAATACAATCTCTGGAGGACTCAGTACAATATATCTCGGCAAAAGCGGATTCTATTGCGAACGAGAAAAAAAGTTACTGTATACGACTTTTTCGATGGATTATCATTGACATGCACTTAGTGGGTTCGCTTACACTATCACTTCTTGCTGGAATCGCCTCAGCAGTGTACTCATTCATTAAAAGTAAATCATTACTTGCCTAACTTCAATCTAATTTTTTTCTGACTTTCATCCCCTCTCCCACCCACAACCTCACCTCCAACAGGACGCGTTACAAATCATCAAAAACATCCAGATCACCCAGATAAGCAAAAGCTTCTTACCGATCGATGCTTTTCGAAAGAAACGAGTTTATTGAGAAAAGTTGTTCAATAAAATCTTTCAGTACTTGAAATTTTTCATTCGAGGGTGTGGGTGTCTGTATAATACACCAGCAGCATGATCCACCCACACCCTTAAATAGTTTTACTTTAGCTACTGAGCAAAAAGTAATTTGTTATCCCATATAAGATCAATTATTTACCGAGCACAAATTACTGCACTCATTCGTTATGAAATATTGAGCGATTAAATACATGTCAAAACTATATCTTGCTTCTGTATTTTATATACGTATATAAAAATTATATAAAAACAAATATAGCTAATAATATTAAGTTAAATTTAACATAGCCTAATACAAGTTCAGATACATTAGTTTCTGTTTCATTGACAGCTGTTGACTTTAAAAATAAGGTTCATGTTGAAATGGAAAACCATGTTCATCACAACGTTGTTTTATTTCATTCGCCATAATTCTATTGCCAGTAAAAAATACATTTGTTGTTCGATGTTCAGCTTTAAATTTTGCAAAAAGTAATTTCCATGGTGGTCGTCCAACATGTGTTCGCGTTTTTAAATTTGTATGTATATCTTGATGTTGCATAACTTCATACATATTAGCAACAAGATCATAAGGAAGATTTCCTAACATTGCTTGTTCATTACTACGTATCAATGTACAATAAATATGTATATCAAGATATCTTGCTTGTTGTTCTTGTGAGGTTGCAGTTAAATATGCTTCTTGTTCAGCTTCAAATTCTTCAAGAAGTTTTTGAAACCATAAAAAATTATCAATATCACGATTAATCCAAATGAAATCAACTTTTTTCAATTTTCGAGGTCTTAACGCTGATTGAGTATAATTAACTGCACCACATTGAAAACATGTACAACGTTGTTGTCGTAATTGATGTATTAAACTTTCTAAAGCACTAATATAGGGTGTCACCCCAATTCCACCCCCTATCAAAACAACATGTTCACAATCAAATATATACGATGTACAAGTACTAAAGGGTCCTTCAATACAAGCAACAGCATCTTTTTGATTTGCAGTAAATGTTATTTCATTGGATAGTAATGAAAGAGTTGTTGTTGAATTTTCTGTGACAAGAATTTCATTTGTAGATTTTGGTAATTGTGAAGAAAAATGTTGATAAATTTTCTTTGTCCAATTTTGTTTCTTCATTATTGTTAAACGAAGAATATCTTGTTCTGGTCCACTACAAATCGTAAATGGATGCCATTCATTTTGACCTAAAGAAAAACAAAAAGACAATATATAATTATTTCATAACGAAATGACACTTACTAATATTAGGTAAACAAATATTAATATATTCTCCAACATGAAAATTAAAATTAACCGGTCGTTCAATAATCAATGATAAAACATGATCATCTTCAATTCGAACTGAAATTAAACGTGTACGACCATATTGTGGTAAATGTCGTTTAAGTAAATAAAGTTTTTCCAAACAAAATAATGTCATGGGTCCAATAGCCCATTTCCAAAAATTTTGAGCATGTATAACAAGAAGAATAAATATTGGCCAAAATAAATAATGAGTATATCGAAATAATTGATAACAACCTGATCGTTGTCGAATACATTGTAATGAACAAATAATCATTACAATAAGTAATAACCATAGAATAACACCCGTAATAGGAGCTGAATAATGAACCCATCCAAGTTCTGCAGTCGTAGTAAACATTAATACAAACCATGAATGTCCTAATATAATTAAAAAGAAAATTTTAAATCGAAGAAAATATATTCTATTTATTACCATCTAGATGAGTAGCGAAATGTATGACATAACCGAGCGAATGAACTATAGCGGAAATAAATAGTACTGTTCCTACTAAACGATGAGCATCGATATGATCATCAACTGGAATAAATAAACGAAAATAATATAATCGTCGTATGATAGTCATTGTTTGTTTAAGCATTAAAATAATAGCAAGAGCATAATTATAATCAATTAATATGCCACCTATACGAGCGAAAACTTGCCATACAGATTGATTAGGAATAATTACAACTCGATCAATAATAACATAAATAATTAATGCAATTAAACTTAGAATATATAAGATAAGAAAAACAATACGATTGGCATTATTTTTTATATACATACGCCATCGTTGAAAGTAATTTATTTCTTCATCATCTTCTTTATCTTGATCAGGTATACTGATAAGATAAAGTGATTTAAATACGGATGGATTCTGTTGAAGAATTTGATAGAATTGATCAAAATTTAATTCTTGCCGTTGTTGATTTTCGTTATTTGATGGGAAAAATCCTTGTAAAAAGATTTCTACAACTTCATTAAATCTATTTTCATCTTTAAAAAACTTAAATTCAGATAAATAATATTCATAAAATGAACGAATATCATCAATAGAGATTGTTTCTTTATCATGACCATCAAATAATTTAAATAATATAAAAGCTTTTATTGACATTGGTGACACCCATAGTAGTCGAGCTATACGAATAACATCTGCACCCGATACAGAATTGTTATCATATGCTTGCTTCAAATTGAATATTATTAAAATTCGTTTGCCTATATACAATTAACATATACATAAATTAGTAAAAATTGAAAAAATACATACTGAGTACAGATGTAACTTGAAAGAGACGATCAAATTCATCGATAGTGAATGTTTTTGTACTTATATCCCTAGCAAAATATTTACGAAAATGACGTTGATATTGCATGGATATAGGTTCGTTAAGTAAATCATGAAACTGCTGTCGAATCGTTATACCATTTGGGATAACTGAACGAACACTTGGTCTATGGAATTATGTATATATATATAATCGATTAGTTATAATAAAAGATTTACCTGATCGTTTTTCGTGATATTCTTTCTAATCTAAATTTTGAAAAATATTAAAATATGAAAATAATAGATTTTCTTCACTTACAAGGACAATGGTTTCGGTTGAAAACCTGTTGATGGTTTTTGTGGAAGTATTGACAGCTTCAATCGTGAAAGAACTGTTGGAAGCGAAGTGTAATTTATCTCATCAGAGTTACTGTTGGTATTATTTACAAGATCGGATTTCCTACGACTAAGAAAATCTTCTTATGAATAACTAATAGTTTAATAAGAAAATAAAATAAACTTACAGCATGTTTGCGTTCTTTTCAGTCATCGTATTCTATTTTGTATTTCATATGATGTTGAATGAAATTTTCTATATTTATATATATACATATTTGTAATATAGATTTAAAAATAACCAAATCGAATCAACAATAGTGCGCATGATTTCATGACATAGAATCCTTCATCCATCGCATCACAAATAAGTGGGTTGTTATTAATAAAAAAATGAGTCATAATAAGTCATGCATTTTTATGAACTTACATAGTGCTTATTTGCGTGAAAAGGACATTCGTTAAGTGGCGCAAAGTGTGCAAATAAAACGAAATAGCTTCGTTTATTCGTTCTTCTCTTCATCCGACCATAGGTATACAAGCGCACAAGCAATTAATGAAAATCATTCTACCGTCGATAAGCATAAGCAAATATGGCATTTTTTCAGAACAATTTTTATAAAAAAAAGACGAAGACTATAATTCCTTAATCCTTGTTTATTTATGATCTAATTTTGTGAATGACATAAATCTGAGATATATTTACATATTGTTTTACTTGTTAGAAGCATTTTTGAAAGACGAAGAATAGTGTACGGTAATTTCGCAACGACAACGTAAAGGGTGTGGGTGTGGGTCTTATACTCTTATTGACTGCATACCCACACTCTAAATGTAAGTCAATTAAAGACGACATCTTTCTTTGAATAGTCTCTTATTTGTTTAATAGTGGTGTGTTTATGTATCAATATATTTTTCTTTTCTGTTCTCTCTCTCTATGTCTGCTTAAACTGCACTTGTATATTAGTTTTTATTTTGAAATCATGAATACAAGAATAGTATCTAGTAAGATTCAACTTCGACTTCATTATTGGAATGTTCGTGGACGTGTTCAAGCAGTTCGTTATATGCTTGAAGATATTGCATATAAACATAAAAATGTTGATTATAAAGAAAGTTTTGAACCAATCGATACAATGACGAATACGTGGGCTAACAGAAAAGTTGATCAAACAGTATCAGGTCCATTTCGAACTTTACCAGTTCTTCATTGGAATAATACATATACTTTTAGTCAATCATTAACAATAGGTTTGTTTAATTAAATAAAAGTTTTTATTTCTCATTATTTATTTAAGGACAATTATTAGCAAAAAAATTTGATTTATATGGTAAATTAACATCAAAAGTTGATGATAAAGATTTTCTCGAAACATATATTAATGGTGTTGTTTCATGTGCATATACAGATATTATATCAAATCTTATAACATGTATATGGAGTATGATTAATTTTGTTGATGAAAATAATCCATCGAATCGTTTAAGTAAAAAGATTTCAAATGATCTTAAAGCTTTAAATGATTTGCTTGAAAAGAGTTCAACATCATTTTATTATGATCAAACAGAACCAACAATTGCTGATTATTTTGTTTTTGAAGCATTTACAATGGCACAGGATTATTCAAAGAAATTCTTACCAATTGAAAAAAATTGTCAATCATTAATAAAACTTCAGTGTGTTATGAAAGAACGACCAGCAATAGCTAATTATTTGAATAATGGTTTATTATTTAAACGTTTCACTGGTTCACCAAAAGAAATTCAATACTTGACAAAACTTAGTGAAACATCAAAATAATTTTTTTTTCTTGAAATAAATCTTCTATTTAGATTTATAGAAATAATTAAGTGATATATAATAAAGAAATAGATATGTTTTACTAGTTATTATGATGTTTTGTCAAAGAATTCTTTTCTTTAACGAATAAGAAAAAAGTTATTTTTTGAAAATGTTTAGTTACATTATAGGGCACATAAAGTTTACTAGATATTATTAACTCAGTAAGTTTCATATTCTAATAATAGACTATTCTAAACTAGATATACGTAAAGCAGATTAACCAATGAATTGGTCATTTTTCCAAATACCATGTTTAACACGACCATTGGCGAATGTAAATGTACCTTGTCCATGCTTTTTACCATCTTTAAATGTTCCTTCATACTGAGTATTGTTCGGCCATGTATATTTTCCGCTTCCATGCATTTTATCATCAGCCCAGTTGCCCTGATATTTCTCTCCATTAGCAACATAGTAGATACCATAACCATGTCGCTTACCATTTCTCTCATTTCCTTCATATCGATTTCCGCTCGGAAACTGGCGAATTCCTTGTCCATTCGTTTGATCATTGAACCATTCACCCTCATAATTTTCACCATTAGCAAACTTGCAAATACCATAGCCGTGTCTTTTATTCTCTTTCAGATGTCCTTTATATCGCATGCCATCTGGATAGGTGCGTTCTAAAATCATATACTTCAGATTAAATTCAGTTCGATTACAAGGAAAAAGATGGCTATTGCCGAAGAAGCTTGCAATTTTCTGACATTTGTAGAATTGCACCCAACTCTCTCTTCAATTCACTTACTGGAATGATATGAATATTAACTTTGGAAGGACTAACTATACTAGCGGAAAAGATTCTTATTAGGAAAGAACTGAGAGACAGAGAGGTTACAGCAAATGCATAAATTGTATTTCTTGATTTTTTAATATTTACCTATGGTAACTGGTTGCAAAAGAGGAGCAGGCGGCTGAATTTCTTTGAGTTGGATGAGATGGAGTCCACCACCTTGATCGAGACAACCAAGAACTTCGAATTCTCTAGCAGGAAGTAGAAGCACTTCATCTTCTTTCTTAAAAAATGAATGGTTGCGAATATTTATGCCTGAATTAGTTTCGATTGCGAACATAGTTCTACTTCCAGTTTTACCAAGAAATAATTCTGAGCTTAGAACATTGATTGATTTAGTGCATGATGTAAAACTCCACCATACAAGTTTGTCGTCCATAGAATACTTGTTGCTAAAATCTAGTTTTATACCTCGATACAATGTTCTAGGCATCATCGGCGGAAGTTGAGAGAGAGCAGTAAGCAGCAATTTCAAATAATGAAACCATGGTCGAAGTTGTTGTCTATCTTCTGATCTTAATACTGTATTCAAGGCATGATAAAGACATTGATCGAGTGGTTCCCAACCCATAGTATAGAGCATAATTGCGGCTGACTCGTTTTGAGTTAAATCATCGGCAGGTTTCATACACTTCTGCTTGGCTATATATGCGTAACTTTGAACAGCTGGTAGAAGAGAAACGAGAGGTTTAACGGCTTCTTCCAGTGATACTACAGGTACTGCATCATAACCCCATAGTGGTGAAAGATATAATTGAGGTTCAGCAGATAAATCAATAATGCGTTGTGCTCTCGCTTCGTCGTCTTTATTCAAGTGCAGTTGTGAGGATTTGGATGGCTGTTGGACAAAAATACTTCTATAAAAAGATACCAACAGAAACATGCAATACTATTCATTTGAAAATAAACGGATGTTCTTGTAAATAGAGCAGCAGTTTCTACCATTTATTTTTCGAGACTATATGATCAGAAGTTACATCCAAGATAAGTACCTACATCTTTATACTATACCTTTTGACTATCGTATTAGATCTTCTGAGAGAGTACTCAAACAAAACTTTTAGTTATTATTATTTTTTCTTCCTAAAGTTTATCTTTTTTTGTTTTATTGTATTCTCAATAATATTTATGAAGCTGATTCATAAAAAACAATGGAGTGATACGAAATTATTGTAAACAGGTGACTATCGAAAGACACTGTAGAACATTGCACTATTATCACATACATTCAATGGAAACTTACTCAGATACTGTTTGCATGAACTGTTGTATTTCTTCTAAATAAATAATAAAGTGACGATCTTCAAAGTTGAGTACATCACTCTTGACATGAAGACGAGTTCCTGGCATCAGCACAACTTCATGCTCACTTTCGATTGCCGAAAAGAGAGAAATATCTTTACCATAGTGTGATCTAATAGCAAACAGCGTACCTTTGTCGCCTAAGTATAACTTTACAACTTTTAGATCCGTTGAACATGAATTTAAACTCCACCATCTACGAGTGTCATTCTGACGAAGATTCGAGTCAGTATCAGTCGAGATACCTCGCCATACGTTAGTTTCAACTGAAGGTAACTGTTCGAGCGCATGCATAATCAATTTTAAGAAGGCAAACCACGGTTTCAATGCATGTCGATTCTCATCACGTAGAGCTTTATTTAAATGAGAGAAAAAACATGTCGGCATTGTGTAAAGATAGATTGCTGCAGATTCATCCCAAGTGAGAATTTTGGAGTCTTGATTACATTTTTGTTTAGCTTGAGCAACATAATTCCTTAGATTAGAGACGAGTGGAACGATTGTTTCTGTAGCTTGTTCTAATGGCATAAGAGGTAGATCTTGATAACCATCTATCGGACTGCGATTAGCGTCCTCGAGTTCTGAAATAGCGTTGTTGATAAAACGGTCACGTTTAAATGCATATAATTCTTGCTGTTGCATAATGTATGATGCTTGCTGATGAATTGTATTTGTCTGCTATAAAATATAGTTATTAGAGCATTGCACAAAAACAATTCTTTTAAATCAAACTCGAGTATTTCAGATAAAATTCTTTTTGTTTTACTTCAATATTCTACGACGTTATTTTCTCGGATACCAAGTAGGTATCATGAAGGTGATATAAGGAACGCGACTGATTGTTTTCTCTTTTCTATCATAACATTCTTTATATAATTAATTACTCGAAAACTTTTGATACGATAACAATATCTTCCTTCATTTGTATTGTTGAAGGATATAATCATCATACTATCTTCAGCTTCTGGTACGCATAGGAGTCATTCTACGTAAAGAACAATCAATGTTATATAATCATTCACTAGGTGTTCCGGATGTTTTAGTTGCTTCTGTTCTGCGATAGAAATGAGAGAAAATTTATATCTACTGTATATTATTTAACAGAATCTAAAGAAATAAATCCTTTGTAATTTTCGCTATCAGGAGATAATAAGGAAATTTTTCTAGATGAAGATATTATTTTGTACGTAAAAGATCTGATATGTTCATCGGGATTGAGTATATTTTAAGCATATTGTAGTCTCTTCTCTCTTTTTATTTCTTTTACTTGAATACTGAAGGAAAAGTTTTTGTTTTTACGAAAGATTCTGCACCACTGGTTGACTGTCAACATCGAACACTTCGAGATAAAGGCTCTTAACTTCATTCTCACCTGGAAAGACCAAAAGTTTCAAGGTAATGCAATGATTATATGTTTTAACAATATAAATGTTAGGCAGAGTAGGTCATCACAATAGTAATGTTTGAATGACTATGGTAAAGATTGTTTTTAAAAGGTTAGAATAAATCAATATTCTTTCAATGATAAAACTGCATTGAATTGTTTAATGTCGTTCTTCTTACGAGATGATGGAAGAAAAATGTTTATTTGTAAATGAAAAGAAAAAGATTAGTTTAACTACGAAACAAAGAGCGAGTAGAAGCGAAACGCAAGAGCAGATAAAGAACATGCATGTAAAAAACATCCACAATAGACAACCTCTTACAAACAATAATTTATAATTTACTGAAGTCGAATAGGATTCAAAGTTTAGCTTCTGATTCTACCATCAGCATTCATAAATAAGGGAAATTAACAAGAATATTGACATCTGTATCCGTATCTTGAAGAATAATGAATGGATACCTAATGATACTTAATGAAATCTTTATGGTCGTCAAGAGGAGTCTTTTTATTAAATAGAATAACGTCACATCAATGCAGTAATACAATTTTTCAATTAAGCCATTTCACTATATAGTATTCTTTCTATTGTTATCTTTTATGAAAAGGTTGAAACAATCATATATATATATATATATATATATATATGCGCAATAAATGGCGTCGTTCGTATGTTGTCGTTTTTTCATTTCTTGATATAATTATCTACCGTGGTTAGGCACCAGCCTTGAATGCAAGTCATTCCGTTCGATTTTTTTTTCTCAATCTTATCTGAGTGCAACTGAGACCAACGTTGAATGAAAACTGTAAATTGTGTCGAATAAGAAAGAAAGAAAGAAAGAGAGAGAAAATATTTTTGTCTCTTGCAACGACGAAAAGAATAAATGATACGCCAGCAGACATGTTTCTTACACAAATTTCGTTTTTACTTTTATGATGGTATGCTTAATCTGAAATTGGACAATGTTTACGAAGAGCAGAAAATTTTAACACATCAGTTGGATATTTCAATTAAAATGAGTCTTTTTCTTCTTAGTTCAATCATTATTTCGATAGTTAAACAAACGTTACAAATCCATTTCAACTGTTAACGGAAATTACTCAACAGTCATGTTATGTTTCTTCAAAATGCAAAGAAATCGAATCACCATAATTTACTTGATATTAGTTCACGGTAAGTTATATCGTCCATGTAATTCTAGAACAATTTATGTAGATTTTCTGAGCAGCAATTACAATGTCTATTCAAGCGGGCGATTATTTAGGTCGAACTATCAAATGCTACACGTGTAGCGGAGGACCAGAGTGTGGAATTTCCTTCTCAACCAGTTTGAACAGCACTACAAAATACAACTTTCGTGAAGGTAATGAATACGAGCATTCATGTTCAGTAAGTGTTTATGGTTAAAAATAATTGTTGGTATATTATCATCGAATTTGTCATTATATATAATTCAGATTAACGTAAACTCGGTAGGTACAACAACTCGAGACCTAGTGCTCTCACGCTACTGTCAAACTTCGGCGTACCAATTCTGTTGCAAAGATAACTTGTGCAATTCTCTTCCGTCGCCTCCATTACCTGCATTTACTAGTCTGACATGTATTGTGGGCCGTTGTTTTCTGAATGATGCTGACTGTGTTGATAGATCGCATGTTGCTTTTCGTAGCAGTGCTGCTGAATCCTGTTCGGTAAGATAACAACTATAATTATTGAAACCGAGCGTCAGATATCCTACTCCGACAATAAATCATCTTTCTTCTTGGTTTTAAAAATGCACCATTCATCTTATACAGAGAAGATCTTTTCCAATCGCAATGAGTCTTCATTCGCTTCTTTTATTCTATGACAACAATTTCTAAACATAGACAACTCATGTTTGTCAGAATAAATTCAGTCCATCTCGTCAATCATAAATTTTGAGAAGCATGTAGGCGTTTCAATGAATTTATATCGTTTTTCTTGCTTTTCCCTCCAAAGGGAAATTGAAAAAATCTATCAGTTCCAACGTATAACTCTTAGTATGTGTTTTAAATTCGTAAAATCCTTTTTTCTTTCAAATTAAATTTTGTTACCGAAAGCGATTGAAGCAACACCTAGATCATTAATATTACGAAGTTTCAAAGGTTTTTCGGACAGTCATTTCGAAACAATGTGAGACATGTTCGAACTTGTTGGAGTATTCTATGTGAAGACAAATGATTAAAAATGTATTGTTCTTCAGAAGATTAGCGAGAGTAGAGAGCTACATTGGAGATCAATTGAACATATCTGTCTTAAAACTGAAATGTTTTCTCGTATAAAATATTGCATTATAGTCGATAGAGCAAGAAGAATATAACCGCAAGTACATGTCGTACCAAAAGGCCTGTTCTCCTGGTGACAATGAAGATCTAGTAATAGACAATGTGCAAGCATCTAGTACTGTTCAGTATTCTTGTTGTAATTCTAAGAACTGTAATCAACAATCATTGCCTGTTGTTGTCGCCATTGAATGTTATGTGTGTGATTCACGTATAACTGGCTTGGTGGGATGCAGTATCTTAAATACATCTAGTTCACATGTTTATAAATTTGGATCATCCAGTACTTTGGAATCATGTGCTGTAAGTAATTTAGGAAAAAAAGTACGTTCTCGTATAAAAGATAATCTTTTCTAAGACAATCGTTGGCCTAGCGGGACAGGACGCACTCAGCAATAGAAACTATCCAGCTTTTACTATACGAACATACATTGCAGATTGTCGCAATCAATCGCTAGGCAACGTTTCTTATGGTGGTGCCATGTTTACGGGTCGCATCAGTTGTTGTCACACCAATTCTTGCAACACAGAACGTAAGTTAATAGTTATATGCCATCCACGTAGGAGAAAGATTTTGATGTTTCCTTTCAGTACGATGCATAGGTCTTTTTTCCATCCATTTTGATATTTTTAGTTGGATCTGTTTCAAGGAATATATAGTGCAATTTATGAAATAGTATTATAATAATAAGTTGTTGACTCTCTGAGCCTATAATGGATCCATATTCGAGTAAAAGATGATGTTAGACAAAAATAACTCGCATTCTTAGTTATGTGTAATTTCAAAAGCTCTTTTGCACAAAATTGACTAAATGTACTATTTGCCCGAGTTTACAAGAAAGCTTGAATGATTGATTTGTTATTATAAAGTCTATCTTAAATGTCTGTATGAACTGATCTTGCTGAAGATTGAGGTCTTTAGGTAATGAAAATATATTTCGATGATTTCTCTTCATTATTTCTTTAGCCTTGGATATTTATTTGACTACTCGATTGACAATATCTACTGTACCAGCAGCCATAATAACAAAGGCAAAAGGGACAACAACAACGACTACTACTGCAAAAACCATACAAACGACGACGGCAACAACCGAAACTATAGAAAGAACGATAAAAAACGCTGGCACAAAAGCAAGAAGTACAACAACAGCAGCAACGAAAAATGAAAGCGGCTTTCATATTTTAAAAACTGTAGCGATTACTATTTCGATCGTACTCATAAGTTGTGGACTCGCACTAAGCATTTGGCGAGTGACACGTTGCTTAAACTGTAAAACGGCTCAATCCAGAGATCGTAACCATCATTTAACTGGTTCGGTTGAAGAAATTCCTGTGTTTAGCCCTATGGAGCCTAGTTCTCAGCCTTTCATACAAAACTATAACCAGCTCTCATAATTTATTGCTTCCTAAACTATGCCAGTGGGTATAGGTGTGGATCTGGTTATTGTATTATCATACGTGCACATCCACACCCTTTTTGCTTCTGTTGAGTATTTTTTCCAGATCTATTCTTTTATTAATCAATGTTCATAAACCAATGAAAGTATCTTTTTTCCATCATTCGATGTATGACTGACTTAGCTCATGGTATGCCATAGAGAGAAAATCAATGAGTATTTTCATAATATCTCAAGATGCGAAAAATTTCATATGAATCAACAGAAAATCAGCTGAATTTCTTGAATACCAACAAGAAAAGTTAAATAGTTTGAAGAGACGAAGTAAATAATAAATCCAAACGGCATACAAAAGTTTCCATCGAATCACATTATTTCTATTGTATTTGTTAATTAATGAAGATCAACATGGATAGAGTCCAATTCTAACATCATATCTGGCGTGAAAGGACTTTAATTGACCAGTATCACTACTATAAAGCGCAAACTGATACAGATGCATTAGAGAAAGGCGTTCACACATATTTCAGTTCGATGATCGCTAGGCTTTTTAAGATGTAAACTTTCTGACAGTAGTACGAAGCGATAACTGCTCTTGAGAACCATACAATAAAAAAAGATCTGAAGTTTATTAATCAAAGTATTTACGGGCGAAATAGATCACATCAGCTTCTGATCGAGCATTTTTGTTTACGACTATAAAAAGTAGGAAGTGATTTTTAGATAAGGAATTAATACACGTATTGAAGAGTACTACCGTTGAAGCTATTACATAGTATAGGTATCGAATTTCCTATTCATTCTTATCTTGAATTGATTGCTTACTTGGAATATTCCTTTTCATTGAAAATAATACAATGATTCTTTATATTGAGTGACTATATATAAGATCCATTCGAATAAGACACTATTCGATACTTCTACAACATAATAAAAATCGTTGCTTTTCAGTCATTCACGATGCAACTCTCGATAATTGTTCTTGGCTCGTTTCTTGCTATTATTCTGGTTTGCAACAGCTATGGTGCAGATCTCGCTAAAGATCATCCACTAAAACGTTGTGGATTGGCTCTTTCTGAAGGGAATCTCCAGGATTGTGTTAGTGAAGTTGTCAACCGTTTCCATGAGCATCAAGATTGGTCCAATGCAAAGCGGTTGACTCATTGTGGAACTGTATGCCAATACGAACAAAAAGGACGATTCTTGGGATGGGAATGGGTATGGGATACACGGATTCGATGCGAGTCGAAGGCACCAGGAATCGTAGGTGAAGCAACGAAGAAGAGTCGAAATGGCGCGAAGCATTGGGCCCTCGTAGATTTGTACACTAAAGCTAAACCAACGGGTCGATTTAGTGCCGAGGACATGGAATGCTGGGAAAAGAAGAAGAACAACTAATTATTCTTTATCTTACGCGTATTGTATTCACAGATTTTATAGTGTAGTATATTCACTAACAGCTTAGTTGAAAAATTTTAAATAAACAGAAAACCTCACAAAGAATAACAACTATTAATTTTATTTCTCTAAACATCTTGAGGGTGTGGATGTGAGTGGGTATGAAACTACTAAGTGTAATACCCTCAAGATATAATTGATCTTTCATTTCATTAATTTATTCGATAATAAAAGTTCTCGAGCAAAATTGATTATAGTATATGAACATAAAATATTTAATAAAACTGCAAAGCTGAACAACAATCAAGGAGCACAAATAAGCAAAAGATCAATGTAACTATCTGTCTATGATATGATATGTAAACGTCTTTGTATATTGGTTCGGTATTCAGTAATAGACTTTTGAAATTCTTTTCTATAAAACTTCGATGGTAAGATAAATATAAAACAAGTGAGCATAGTTGGAATAAATGAAATAAAGTATCCAAAAAGAAAAAGCCAAGAGTCATCGACTGATTTCATACATTTCGATATAACAGAAATGATTAAGCGTGGTATTGCAAGAATAACTAAGAGAACTGGAGCAGTAAATAATCGTTTGTGTTTTCGAAATTGTTCTTGTAAAAGTTTTTTGTAAGTTCGATGAACTTGAGTATTGACCTGTCGACGAGATTTCTTTGTAATAAGAATAATTGCTGAAAGTAAATTGATCACAAATGGAGCAACAACATGAAAACCATTGATGAACGAATTAAATCGTTCTAAACCAACTGGATAAGTGACAATACACCAAAGTCGTTTTTCATCATCATTTTCTTCTTCAATTAAACGTCGATAAATTGGATCATGAATAGATGTACCAATAACAACAACACAAAGGCCAATGATAACTAATTTAGCTATTTTTTTACTTTTTTTCTTATCAAAACGAGTACTTTGCACCACAGTCATTGCTCGTTCACTGGCCACACATGCACTTAACCATGCATCCATACTAAGACAAATTCGTAGTAGAAAATCAAGAGAAATACATTGAACTTTTAAAAATGATCTATCTGTTATCGTTGTCATTTGTGCAAATATAAGAATCCAAAATTTCAAAGCAAATAAGATCATTGTCATTAATGTAACTATTGATGAACTGAATAAATAAACTCCGCAACCGACTTCTCGTACAGATTTCTGAGTAAATGTAATCATTGCTAAAATACCATTGATAAATCCTGCTAGAATAAAGATTAAATTTAATGCGATACTGGTTTGAACAATAGTTGACTGATGTTTTATTCCAACATTAGCAAAAATATGATAACCTAAAATAGCATCAAGCGATAAACCAAATCCACTACTACTAAATTGACATCGTTTTCCATAATAACATTCTGAACATGCACATATTGTTTTGAGTGGACAATCAAGACTATCTTGAAAGCATTCGGCTTTATTTTCACATTCGCTTTGTCCTAAACAATCAAATACGACACTATGATTAAATTTAAAGCAGTTTGCTAATCGTTTTTGTTCATAATCATAACATAAACAAAGATGAGTTTCATCATAGAAACAGGAACGATTTAATGAATATTGTTGACATGGAACATGATAATATTTTATACGACGTATAAGATTCATCTGAAGAATTGTTTCATTAAATATATCACTGATATGTGAACAACGATCAGATGAAGTGATTGTTTTAGTTATTATTGAAGATTGGTTATAAGTCTTTTGAAGAACAGCTAAATAATACTTTTCATGACGAAATTCAACAAAAGCAAGATGAAAACGGTTCGGATAATGGATAATCACTGAATTTTGTACGAATGGAATTGTTTTAAAAATTGTTTCTCTTTTCGGTGCATCGTTTTTCATAATTCGAATAAAATGAATGTATATTGATTGCGATGAAATAATCTTTTTTTCGAATGATAAACGAAGTTGATTATCTTCGATTTCACATCGATCTCCCGAAAAGCCCATTGGACAAATACATGTAACCTTTAAATTAGATTCTATATGTTGATCATTTGAAATACATAAACCTCTATTTTTACATGTCGAATTCTTCTCATTTCCTCCACATACGGTATTGGTAAGTAGACATCGTGAACCAAATTTATCCATAGGACAAATACAAATTGGTCGATTCGAAGAAATACCAATACATAATGAATCATCTGAACATGTACAATTAAATTTTATAGTACAATATTTTCCAGACCATCCGTTTGAACACTGACAAAAAGTACTACATGTTTTACCATCATTTAAATATTGTCGACATGTACCATGAATACACGGATTAGTTGAACAGCTTGGATGTTTGTCACGACTTCGTGGAATATCAATTATATAAGCTAAACGATGAACAGGTAAAAATGGAAACTCAATCGGATAGAGTAAACTTCCACGATAGGCCTTTGAAATTTTTTCATAAAAATCGATATGTATCGAATATTGTTTTGTTCGATTTTTTGATCGAGTAGAATAAAGTAAATAAACATTGAATTTCTTTTTACAATCTCTTACTGATAAATAGGTAAATTGATCATATGAATGAATAATACGTTCATCGGTATCATCAATAAGTGAAATTACGATTGCAAATGATGTTCGCCAAGAATCTGACATTGCTCGAAATTGAATAGTCAGACTTACACGTTCATTTTGATATTGACATTGCTCACCAGAATAACTAGACGGACAAAGACATGTTGTGTTGTTTGTGTTATTGAATCCAACACGTATTTCAAGGCCATGGTGACAACGACGATGATTATTTTCCGGTAGCAGTATCAAAGATGGTATTATTGTCTGCTCCTCAGTATCTTTCGGAACTTCAACTGTCAGGTTCATTCCATCGAGGAAAAAATATACAAGCGCTTCTTTTGTCTTCGTTTTTAATTGATTACATAGAAACTTATCAATATCAGAGATAAATGGTAACAAATCGTCTCCACAAAGGTAATTTATCATAGTAAACGTTCGATTTTGGCGACAAAATTGTTTGGACTCGTTATTCGGACAGCCCATAAAATCGCTGCATATATATGGGAAACTGATACATGATTGTGAATGACTTTGATTCGCGCAATAGAAATTATTATTGAGAAACGTTTCATACTTCGGTCGACACAATGCGAATTCGTCAATACCACCAAAACAATCGATTTTGCCGTCATTGATTTTTTCAATCGGTAGACATTTAAGTTGATGTGTCTTCGGTGAAACACATAAATGATGATCAGAAGAACAACTTAATGGTAATGATAAATCACAACCAATTTCATCTAAACCATTAATACAATTCCATATGCCATTGCAACGAGTATAAATATTATTACATTCCCATTGTTCACATTCTGTTTCATCTGTTTGATTTTGTCCAGTTACATTTATTGGCATTAATTCAGTAAATCCATCACATATTGTTTGAAATGAAATATTCTTTCTCGCATATAAAAGCTTGTCTGTTGATTCTCCAGGTAGCACATGGTTTATACCTGGAATGTGTTCGCTGATGGTAGTGATATTTGTATCATTTCGATATTCATCGTCATTTCGAGGACAATCATTAATACCATCTTGGATACGATGTCTAGAAATACATTTGATTGAATCTATACACTGATACATATTTGATGCATTACAAATTGTAGAATTATAATTAAAAACTTGGTTATATTTCCAAAGTTCCTTAAATAATTTTTCTCGGTACCCTGCGTTCCAGTAAAAAATTCCTCGATACATAATTTGTACATTACTATAATGATAACACGTTGTATTTCTGAATGATATTTTTGAACCATTGATAAAATGATCATCATTATAAGAATTATTCGAGCATAGATAAAAACCCCAATAATTTCGTGTGCTTAAAGGTTGTGATTTGTATTGTTGATAAGCAAAATAAATGTGACCAAATATAACTGGTACATTTGGAGCATAGAAAATATCTGGACAGTTCTCGTCAATGATTTTATTGCACATATCAATGAAACAAAGCCTACTACAGGTTGACTCATTGACAGTTGGAATTCTCAAAGTGCATTGAATTGCCAACCAACAAATATCAGTTATTAAATCATCTTTTGTGGAAAACAATGCTGATATTAATAATTCTGAACGATGGCGCGTACATGAACTGGTGAATGGTTGTTCGGTACATGTTATATCGCCACATCCAATTGGTATGGGACATATACGGTGATATAGTGCTGATGTAGAAAGTGTGATAATTGAATCCGACTTATCCAAACAATCAGGATTGGTAGAACCATCTCTATTAAATGAGTGTGGCACACATTGTCCATTTCGACATCGATATTCATTATCTTTGCATTCATTTATTTCAAGTTGCCAACAATATTCTTCATCGGATCCACTATCAAGACAATCAATCTTACCATCACAAATTTCACTCCAATCTAAACATGCCGACAGAGAACCACGATTGCATTCTAAATTCGTATAACAAGTCAGATTAGTCACCGCATCTTCATAGGCTCGATAGTAATCAATAATTAGATTATTTAAAGATGAATGCCCTGAATGATAATAATTTAATTCATATTGACACATAGAACCAAATCTTGGTAAAGTACAATTATAGAACAGTTCTGTTGCCATTGATAGATCATTATTCGATATCGATAATTGATTTAAATAGTATTGATACTGTTCAACGACATCAATTGGTGCCGACCAAAGATATAATTGTTCACTTGTTATATTATTTTTCGAAAGTTCAACAAAAGTAAATTTTGGAAAAGAATCATGTGGTTCGATATGAAATCTTGATAAGGGTTTACTTACACAGAAAGATACTATTGCGTGCTCTTCGGATACTTCGACAATCCCGACACGCAAACAATCATGCTGAAATGTATCGGCATTCTCCTTTTCATTTACTCCATCTGTATAATAAAGATTGATTTGAGGCGTAGCAACAATCAAGGGAAAGAATATTAAATAATGTAGATAGATCATATCATACATTAAGTATTTAATCATATAATGAAAAGATGAATAACGTATTCACCTTTTATATAGTTCGTATAAATATATTCTTTTTTTTCTTTATTATTAGATTACTGAAACTCTTGTCTGTAATAAAATTTATCATAAAATATGAGCAAACTCGTTTGTTCCTGTTCGATAGATATAATGGTTTAGTTGCTGACGTAAATTTGAATATTTGTAACAGATGCTGCTGCTAATATGTTATTAATTAATGCGTTTCTCTGACGTCATTTCAAACTAAGTCCTGACTTTTATTTATCTGCGTCATTCCGAATCAACTCCTGACTTTTATTCATCTACGTCATAATGGATAGATTGGGAAAAATTGAAAATGTGGATGTTGCTAACAGTATTAAAATGTCTAGTTTTCTTATTGTCGATCATTGCATAAAGACAACATAGTTAACGATCAAATGAATAATATAGTTTTTTTTATTTTTAGATTGTTTCTACGACTAAATCATATATAACAGAGATACCCATGGCGGCGGTGCGACATCGGCACTCTGTTTTCTTTACTGTCGCAGTGCGATGCGGCAGCTGCTATAAATATGTTTTTCAAAACTCATGAATTTAGATATAATTTCGACGTTAGCGGGTATTGGTGTGGGTGTGGTTGAGGGTGGCATACACCAAACTCAAATATTTTGAACTTGGATGTAGGTTTAGATTTGGCTATAGCTTAGGCATCGAAACTTTCGATATCTAGCTCAACTTCAAGGGGTGGGTGTGGGCTTAGGATGTGGCTAAAGAAAAGAATAGTTCACACCCACCCATCCCCTACCCTTTTTAGTCCCGTAGTTCCCTTAGTCTACACCCACACCCTAATACTAGATAAAAGCCAGTTTCTCCGCTCGGTGTTCAGTTTATTTTTTATTGGAAATACGCAACAAATAACGAAATTTAGATTTTGTGGAAGGCAGACATATCTTCAAACGTACACAATTCAGGCGGACCGACGGGGAAAAGTGTAAACTGACTGCTCTCGACAAGCATGTTGTGGATTTTCTCCTCTGTCACAGCAAGTAGAGCACGAGCAGCTGATTCGTTGATTGGTAGTATCCGGTAAGCGACAGTGATATGGAACTCATAGCTTTTGGAATAAGGAAACCCTGCGTGCAAAAGAGAGACGAAGTTAGCAATGATATCAATAATAATAATTAGTATAATAGTACTCACCTAATCGTGTGTACATGAGGTCTCTCCATGCTGCTAGGGCTTCAGCGGTCTTCTCCTCATAGGGTCGCAGCCAGACTGTTAAATGGTCACGAAGCACCAATCGTGCCATCTTCATGTAAAATACATTCGAGGCTGCCATAGTCATCACTTCCTTGCTCCTATGCTGTAACTCTTTTCCAATTTGTCCCATATCACCTTCAATCTCTGCGCAGATAGTTTGCCTATTCCATGAAGTCACTAGGTCCGTCAAGATCATGTGGAAGCTGTCAGGTGGAAGGAAGGAGAAGCATCCGCCAACCGTCGGTCCTGTCGCTTTTAGCATTTCCTGAGCTTGTATGAGCACTCTAGCAATACTGGCACCATGGCTTGTCTCGTTGACCATGCAGATGCAGGTTACTCCGGGGAAGGTCTTCACTGTTTTGTCATCATTAAACTCGGCGGGACTGTTGTTGAGCCCTAACTCAAATTTATGATGGTGGCTGATGTTGAGATGCAGCGATTGGTTCCAGTTTGCTAAACCGATAAAGAGTCGACAATTCTCTTGTTCAAAGCATCCACACCAATCGGGCACTACGAGGAGCGTTGAATCGCTTCCTGGTTGGTTGCCTAATCCAAAGGCATCGACCCGTATTTTCGCATCGAAGAAAAACCAGAACGTTGTTTGCTTCCCCTTTTCGGTCGGAAGTAGCGCTTGCTTCTCCTTCGTCTCAGCCAATACCACACCTGGATTACCTTCACGCACGGTCGTCCGATTATTTCCATCTTGTCCAACCACAAAACAGAGTACTGACTTTCCTGTACCTCTGGACGATGTGGGTTCGGAGTTGAAGATCACTCTGAATTCACTCCCGGTTATAAGAGATACCACAATAACAGCGCGTGTTGTGCTCGATAGCTCTGGAAGATAGATCTCGTGTCCATGTCTCAGGGCTGTAGCAGAGAAACTGAAGCCAGTATCGCTCTTTAGTCATGAGAATGCACCGTCGTTCTCTTGCATTTGATGAAGACGTATATTTTTGATCTTGAAAAAGGAACTGAATGTTTATCATTTTTAGCTAACTTCTTTACACCAGTAACAAGATCCCGGAATCCTAACAGTAGTATGCGATTTCTCAAGACAATTATTACAATGGTCGATACGACGAAAAACGATAATATATATTATCACTGTAAATAGTGTTTAATTATGAACAGCCGAAAAAAGCATGTTCATAGCTATAGTACAGGGTGGCCCACCAGAAAAATATTATCTATGGTGAAAACACAATATTTTTCTTCAAAAGATGTGCCTTTCGGTACTAGTAGTCTACATATTTCATCGAAAAGACCTGTTAAAAAGGTCACCAGTCTACGTGTTTTTGAAGAAGTCGACGAGCTCCATCTAACCGTATGAAAGCATAAAAGAAAAAAAGCTTCGTAGAAGTTAGGACTACAAGAATCTCACGAAGCAGGCAAAATTTCGGCTACAATTTAAAAAAAATCTGTGGTTAAAGCCAAATGTAATAGTAAAGATATTCAAATTTCTTATCGCACATTTACTTATGAGCCACCCTGTATACTTGACTTGACAAACCCGCATAAGTTTCATTCAAATTGCCGGGACATACCTGAGACCTTTCCTTGTTAGATTTACCAGTTTTTCTTTTACAAAATTATTCGTCAATAGGAATGAATCTGTGCAAAATTCTCACGTAGTACGTTTTCTATTGCAAATAATAATCAACAAAAAGGTGCCTGTTATCTTCAGTCCACGTGCATAGATAGGAGGCATTTTGTTGGAGAATTATTAATGTTGTCGTATCTGATATGTAGTCTTTCACCATAGAAGTGTCATTTAAATATCAAATTAGTCATATTTCATCACCGAGTTCTATAGTATCAAAATAAAACGAACTCATGCACTCGACAAAGTGCCACAATCATTCTCATGAAGTTTTTCTTCTGTACTTTCTTTCTAACGATAATTCTATCTTATGCTCGGCTTAGACCGACTAGCTAATGTAAGATTAACTTTTTACTTGAGGACAAATTTTCTAAATACCACATAAAAATTTTACTTCATGGGAGAATGTTATAGAACTCTTGCTACCTGTCTTGTGACCATCTTCTACCCGCTCCCTTAAGTATAATCTTTTAGACACTGTCTTAGGATTCGCTACATATCTACTTCATATACAAATGCAATTTGAGAATATAATGTGTTTTGACATATTAGTTTTTCTTTACCTTTGTATCCATTAATTATCTCGTCAGCTTTATTAATATTATCTAATGTTTCTTTATAATTTCCTTTTGTGACATGATATTTTGCAATTGAAAGACATTAATTAATACACTTCTCTGCACGCGTATATATATGTGTACCAATCGACATGGGCGCGGTTTTTCTGATGGCGCCACCATATGGACTAACGAAAAATAAAATATATATATGTAATTATTTATTCGATTTCGTTAACAAAGACAAAAAGATTTGATTTTGGTTCTAGTAAATCATTTCATCAAAGAAAGAAATCTAAATATGGAGTATTTATCAAATGAAATATATTATGAAATATTTGATTATCTTGATGGTTGTGATATCTATCAATCATTTTCAAATCTTAATCATCGTTTTCAACAACTTTTAAATTCATCATCATTATTATATAAACTAAAATTTCATTTTAAAACTTATGATTTATTTATCAATAAATATCAATATATAAAATATCTTAATCGAAATCAAATATTATCATTAAATTTATCATCAAAAATCCATTATATTGATCAATTTTTTTCTTCATTTAATATCAATTCATTATTTTATCAACTTCGTTCAATTTCTCTTGAGAAGGTTAAATCAGAAACACTAGTTACTCTATTAAAAGATTTTATTCATCTTCCATGTCTTACTTCATTGAATATTCAATCATATGATGAATTATTAGATCTATCTCAAATTTATTTATTAATTTTCTCATTATCAAAATTAAAATATCTTACAATATCATCAAATGGATTTAAAGATTCACTTGAATTACCGGCATATTCAACTGAAAATCATCATGAAATGAGTTCAATTGAACATCTTAATATTGATCATCATGTTACATTTAAAGAACTTTCATCTATAATATCTTATTTACCTAAACTCTATGATTTAGATTTTGTGCATGAAATTGAAGATGATTCAACAGTTGAATTGATAACATATGATGAATTATCAAAATTAACGAAAATCTCAATGACTATCAGTGATTTAAATTTTAATCAAATGTATATTTTTTTAACAAAATTACCATCTACTCTTAAAATTTTCAAATTTATTTTATGGAAAATCGATATAGATTATTTGGATTTTGAGATGTGGCAAAATTTAATAGAAGAATATTTTCCTCAATTAGATAAATTTTATTTTAATTATAATGCAGGATGTTCTGATGAAGACGAATGGATATTTAATGGTTGTATGCTTAATGAATTTATTTCTCCATTTTGGATCAATCGACGATTATCTGTAGAAATTAGTCGTGACCAAAATTTTATTTCTATCAAGATGAAATCATATAAGTATGTGTTTATTTTTATCGAATGTGTCTTTCAATTTCTGTTATCTTTGATTTAGAAAACGATGGTATGAATTAATTGCTCCTAATGAAAAGTTTAATATGAATACATCAACTTTACTTAGTATTCAATATATTCCGGATGAGGATAAATATTTAAAATTTCTATTTGAAGAAATTGAATGGATTACAGATTTTGCAACTATTCATCATCTAGAAATTACTAAACCTTTTTTTATTGGAATTCTTAATAAAATTTTTGATATTTTACCGTATCTTGATTCATTAAAAATCTCATCGATAATATTACCGACAGTAACATTATTAGATGATGATGAATTAGATCAATTTGAAAATATAGCAATCTATAATAGTATAACCAAAGTTTATCTTGAAAAAATGAATACATTTGATGATGTTCATTTTCTTTTGGATTTATTTCCTCGATTAAATTATCTTCAAATTGGTTGTCAAAGTGATATTGATATTCAATTATTCTTTCAAGTTATTTTCATGAAAATTATTAATAAAGATGATTACAATATTCGTTCATTAGCCATAACTATTCCAACAGCTGACGATCAAATGGTAAATAAAATTCAAGATTTGATTCAAATCAAAAATCTTCTTATTAATTATAAAATTACACGCACAAATGACACTATTTTCTTACAAATCGAGTAACAATTTTCTTCTGAATAAAATAAAAATCTAATTTTCGTCCATGTCATCATGGTAAATTAAAGACGTATTCTCTCTCTCTGTATATATTGATTGAAAGACAAGAAATCATTCCAAGAGTTTATAATAAAGATTAAATACTAAAAAAACAGCATAACGATGAAATGTTTCTCTTTCTCTAAATATATTATCATTTCAATAAGATCTATCGACTTTTAAGAATACGAGCTAGTCGAATGAAATTAATGGTTGAAACTGGATTTGCCGTTGGAAGATTTTGTAAAGACAAACATTGAAGATAAGGCACTTATCGATTCTTCAATAATTATTATAGAAAGATAATTTAATTGACGATTAAGAGTATCAATTTGCATCAGTATAGAATGATCAAATCTTCCAAACATTGTAAAACGAAAGAGATTTGGATATGAATTATGAATTAGCACGATACGTTTTCACATATAGAAAATCTGGATACGAACTAATAATTAAAATTCGAAGAGAAATTGATATCGGTGAAGTCATGTCTGTTCTTGGTGCTACCGTAAGAATACATATTTGGAGAAAAAATATCTTGATAAATTCTAGACAATAAATGTCTTCCGTCCTTAGGACTATCAAGAAAAAGATGATCCAGATGAGGGAAGATATTCGATCATCAGTAGTTGAGTAATGCATGGTAAAAAATATTTTATTGATAAATATCATTATCATTTTCTATTAAGACCGAAGAAAGCTTTGTAAATATGACAAATATCTGAATAGCTGATAATATCGAAGACGAGTACTATTGCAAGATCTTCAAAACATGTTTGAATATTGTCACTTATTTATTTTAATATCAACCAAACCTAAAAATACAGAATTCAACTCAAACAATCGTGATGAGAAAGGCAATAGATTAAATACATTCAATTAATATTAAGTGAATTTTTTTCCATATTTTTCTATCATTGAAGTTTTTTAAATGCTGTCGCATTGCATTGTATTTTGTTAATTTTAATCTTGTGTGAATATAAATATAAAGTAAAATTAAAAAGATTGTTGCTAAAGTTGATTTTTTTTGAAACTACAGTATAGAAATCACAAAACTGACTTAGAATAATAGAATGACGTTCAACCCCATTAAATCTCATAGATTCTAAAAATATGATTTCAGACATCTTTCTCTTACGAAGAACAAGGGCTTATGGCAATATTACCGATTGAGAAGCTAGTAATTACTTTGACCAGTTCCCTCGTGAATCAAGTTGATTAAAGAATTTGGGTGTGGCTTTTTCTCCTTTTCCGGCACTCGTGACTCACTCATCCACACCCACCCACGCCCATAAATTAATATCTAATTGATAGATTTATTTAATATATATTAATAATAAATTATTTTCCATATGAATAAGTTTCCATATCAGTTGTAAAACATCGATTTCCACCTTGTCCATACAGACATCGAACTCGTTCGAAAAAAGGACTATATTTTTGTATAATTAAAGGATTATTATATTCATTTTCATTCATATAACAATAAAGTTCACAATCAAATTGTTGAAGATAAGGTACAAGAGTAGGAAGATAGTTTGACATTTCTATAAAATAAACATTAACAGTACTTTTCTCAAGATTTCCACGAACACGTAATCGAATTAAATTTGGAGTCCATTTTAATAATTGTTCCAAAGAAGAAATAACAGAAGTATTAAAAGTTATTTTCAGATATTTTAATGTTAAACAAGGTTGAATAAGATCAATTGAAGAATATGAATCTTCTAGATATGTTTCAAAACGAAATAAATATTGAAATTGTTGAAAAAGAAAATCAAGTTTTGACCAATTCCATTTATTAATAGAAAGAGAACGAATTATATTTCTTGATGATAATTTGTATGAATTTAATTTCAATTCACTATTATCATTGAAATCAAAATGGCAAGTTTTCAATGATGGAAAATGTTCACCTCGAATTATTTTATAAAAGAATACTTGTTGAAGAAAATATTTCATATTGAAGATTGAAAGTCGTTTTAAATAAGGTAAATTCAATTGAATTATCTTAACAAAAAAATTCAATAGAAATGTTAATTTAATCAATAAATAATAGAATAACAAATTACTTGATTTATTTGATCTTTTGTTAAATAATCACAATCAAATGTTAATGAACGAAGTTCAGTAAACATCATAAAATTCAATGATGACCATAAAGTAGAACAGAGTTTTAAATGAAATATTTGTTTTGGATTAAATTTAAAGAAATAAGCAAAATCATTTGTACTATTTTGTGTTAATTCAACCACAAGAATTATATTATTAACAGTATTTATAATCGAATCAATGCGTTTATTAAGTCCTTTGAATGAACGAAGAGTAAGTATATCAATATATTGAAAGATTTCAAGAAATAATTCATCAGGAAATGATTCTAACTGACGTTGATTTGTTGATGATAAGATATTGCGACTCATTTTTAATTGGAAAAACGTTTCTTCGGTACAATTGCAGTTTAATAAAGACGACTTTCTTTACTAAATTCATATTTATATATATATGTACCGATACAGACACGTATGACAGAATAGAAAAGAAATATTTTATTGGTGTATCATTTAGCCAGTGCATGATGAAAGAAATAGATGTTATAAGAGATCAGAACTTTATTTACAAAAAGAAAATGATATACATTATATGAGATAATTATTGATCAGGGTTAATAGAGAGATGGGTTTGGGTGCGGGGTAGGGTAGATGCGTGGATATGGGTGAAGAGGAGATAGATATACTCGCACCAGCACCAACACCCCCATCCTCAAGCTATTTTATTAATATATAAAAAGAACTTTAAGAGAATCATTTACACATGTAAAATAGTTGTTGCAAAATGAAATGTTTTCGTGTCCTGTCTATTACAATACATATTTCATTATTATCTTATTCATGACGTATACAGATTTTTCTGCCCAACATGCTATGACAAAGCTTATGGAATAAAAATAGACAATTGTTGTGTATTATAATAAAATTTATTTGATCTTGAGGGTGGGTTTGGGTAGGTGTAAGGTATAAACAGAATGCAGCCATACCCTTCTGTTTATTTAAAATTTTCCAACTAAGTTATTAGTGAATATACTACACTATAATATCTGTGAATACAATGTGCTTAAGATAAAGAATAATTAGTTCTTCTTCTTCTTTTCCCAGCATTCCATGTCTTCAGCACTAAACTGACCCGCTGATTTAGCTTTAGTATAGAAATCTAAAATGGCCCAATCCTTCGCCTCGTTTCGAGTCTACTTCGTTGCTTGACCTATGATCCCTGGTGCCTTCGAATCGCATCGAACATGTGTATCCCATACCCATTCCAATCCTAAGAATCGTCCTTTTTGTCTGAATTGGCATCGAGTTCCACACATAGTCAACCGCTTCGCGTCGGACCAAACCGTATGCTTCTGAAAACTGTCGCATAACGCACTAACACACTCCTGAATATTTCCTTCGGAAAGAGCTAATCCACAAGGTCGTAGTGGGTGATCCATAGCGAGATCTGCACCACAGCTGTTGCAAAGCAGGATAATAGCAAGAAGCGAGCCAAGAGCAATTATCGAGAGTTGCATCGCGAATGACTGAAAAGCAACGATTTGAGTTATGTTGTAGAAGTAAGTATTGAATAGTGTCCTATTCGAATGAATCGTATATATAGTCACTTAATATAAAGAATCACTACATTATTTTCAATGAAAAGGAATATTCCAAGTAAGCAATCAAGCCAAGATAAGAATGAATACGAAATTCGATACCTATACTATGTAATAGCTTCCATGGTAGTACTCTGCGTATGAGAAAAAAGATAAGATTCAATATGTGTATTAAGTTCTAATCTAAAAGGCACTTCCTACTTTTTATAATCGTAAACAAAAGTGCTCGATCAGAAGCTCATGTGATCTGTTTCGCCCTTAAATACATTGATTAATAAATTCCAGATATTTTTGTTGTATAGCTCTTAAGAGCAGTCATCGCTTTATACTACCGCCAGAAAATTTACATCTTAAGAAGCCTAGCGATCATCGAACTGAAATATGTGTGAACGCCTTTCTCTAATGCTTCTGTATCAGTTTGCGCTTTATAGTAGTGATACTGGTCAATTAAAGTCCTTTTATGCTAGATGTGGCGTTAGAATTGGACTCTGTCAATATTGATCTTCATTAATTAGCAAGTACAGCAGAAAGAATGTGATTTGGTAGAAACTTTCCTGTGTCGTTTAGATTTATTATTTGGTTCGTCTCTTCAAACTATTTAACTTTTCTTGTTTGTAGGAAGTAAGTGTTATACTCAACCTAGTTCCACATCCACATCAACTCTTCAAATGAAAAGATGAAATTGTATAAAAAAAAACGATTAATATTTATTATTCATATTATATATAATGGCACTTCAAGCGAAAAGATGAAATTGCATAAAAACAACAAATTTGAATAATTATAGTTATTATTATATATATATAAGTATATGGATTTACATGAAACATTACAGTTAATAAAACTTATTTTGAAAGAGATGAATAAAAAATGTATATTCACGAAAAATCTTAATGATTGTTATTGCTATTATTTTAATATCAATGATATTGAATACTGAAGCTCTGTGTAAAACATCTTCAACAAATGGATATAGAGGAAGTATGGCAAAATGTTATTGTGAATGTAATGGAGCATACAAATTAGGTTTTAAAGCTACAACATGTACTTGGTTTCCCTACGGTCAATTTAGTACTGGTGGTTGTACTTACTGTGATAGTAAACGTAGAAAAAGAACTTTAAAAACAATTCGATCAGTTTCGATTTCATCTGGTCCATTTTTAGTTCAGCAATGTGCATGTACAGGTTGCGATTCATCTTCAATCGGTTACAGAGGAACAGCAGAACAATGCCAAGCGTATTGTCAATTGCAAGCTACGTTATTTATTAATAATGAAGTAATTGTTACTTATTTACCAGATGGACAAGTTAGTAAAGGTGCATGTAAATGCTGTGGATACAAAGATCCTTGTTTTGTGTTCTAATATCATACAAGGTTTTCTATTAGTAATAAATAAATATTTTTATATAGAATCTGCCATAAAATATATTAGAAATAATTATTATGCATACTAAAAATATAAACTAGATGATTCTGATATTTAAATAACTCGATATAAGAGAATATACTCAATAAAAATGCCTGTCAAATAAAACAATAAGATTATGGGATAATTCATAGATATATTCAATTGTTTTTCACTAATTAACATTGAATCAGAGTACAGGACAAATAAGGAATTTATGTTTGAATAATGGCGATTAACTGTTAACAATATAAATATATAGTTTGCATATTTTCGTTTGAGAAGGTTAAATGGTATGGTTGTGTATGTAATGTATTATAAAAATAGTTGTTTTCTATTCATAATTTAGTTGAACAGTTTAAAAATGAAAAAAATAACTATGAAATAGTAGATACATGCATAAATTCTTGATAATGTAAAAATATGACATGATTGCAAGAAGATTAATAATTGATTTTTGAACCTGAGAATGAACTGATAAATACATATAAGTACATAATTTTCTTTTCTATCCCTCGATCATAGCCCTCGATCGTTATATATTTTCTCTTCTGTTCAATCGTTTCTTTTTCTTACGTGTTCAGTTCGACCGTTAATTCGTTATAGATGGCAAGATCAATCGATAAAACTATTCAACGTAATTTTATTCCTCCGATTAAAAATAATTTATCTGAACAACTAAACGTTTTTCAAACTTCATCAAAAGATATCTCAACAGCAATGAACAAATCCAATTCATTATTAACGTAGGCGATAAATTCTTTTATCTGTTTAAATTATCTTCATATTTAGAACTGAAGATCAAAAAATGTTAACAGAAACAATAACAACAAATGATACATCTCATTCAATTATTACAACTACAACAACAACTACTACGACCAAAACTACCATAGCAAAGGCTACGAATTCACTTGAAGGTAAGATGTCGAAAATTCTTAGTATTTTTTTCATAAAGAAAATTTTAGCTGGATGTTTATGTCCATTTTGTAATGGAATCTTTCAAATGACTTGTCATCGACCAATTAGTGAAATTTCATGTGGTCATATTATATGTTATCAATGTTTCGTTCTAAATACAAATCAATTTGGCTGTGTACAATGTAAAAAACCTTCAGAAGTAAATTCCAAAAGAAAAATTCTCTCTTGCTATTTATGCATATTTTATTTAGGAAAATAATAGTAATATGAAATTATCATCTACTATCAATGTATTATCTGATGATAAAAATGGCGTACAACAAGTAATGCCTGAAACAATTGAAAATCAAATTTTGAACGTTTTTCATCATGTTTTCAAACTTTCTGATGTTTGTATATTAATTTAATCTTACAACATTAATAAATAATCATTTTCTAGTTTCGACATAATCAATGGGAAGCACTCAATGCTGCTCTTCATCATCACGATTGTTTTATACTTATGCCAACAGGTAAATATAATACATCGAAATTATATTTAAATAAAAAAATATTGTTTTTTTTTATTAATTTAAAGGTGGTGGTAAATCTTTATGTTATCAATTACCAGCTATTATCGATAGTGGTGTTACATTTGTCATTGCACCATTACGATCACTTATATTTGATCAAAAACAACGATTAAATCTATTAAATATTCCAAGTGCAGCATTAACAGGAAATATATCTCCAGAAGAAGCGAATGAAATTTATCGTGATTTATATAAAGATATACCAGCATATAAAATTGTCTTTATTACACCAGAAAAAATTTCTATGAGTGTAAAAATAAATTTTCTTATCGAAATTAAAATAATCGATGCTTTTGTTTTTTGTATAAATAGGATCAATTAAATAATGTTCTTCGTGATTTATATAATCGACAACTTCTAGCACGATTTGTTATTGATGAATGTCATTGTGTTTCTGAATGGGGTATATTGAAATATTTGACTTTATTTTAACAACATCTTACATTACTTTTAGGTCATGATTTTCGTCGTGATTATTCACAACTCGGTATTTTTTGATTTGTTTTCATTTGATAATTTATTCTTTATTTTTAATTTCAGGTCAATTACGTCTGAATTATCCTGAAATAAATTTAACTTTATTAACAGCAACGGCAACACCACGTGTACAACAAGATATTCTTCAACAATTAAATATAAATGGAAATTATAAATTATTTGTTCAATCATTTAATCGATCAAATCTTATTTATGAATGTATACCAAAAGAAAATACTGATATAGCACTTAGTCAAATAGCTAATTTAATTAAAATAAATTATCAAAATCAATGTGGTATTATTTATTGTTTTTCACGTGCTGAATGTGATCGAACAGGTTATTTAGAAAAAAAAACTTCTTTTTTTAAATTAAATCAGTTTTTTTCTTAAATATTTTAGCTCAATATTTATTAGCACATAATATTCATGCACTTTCTTATCATGCTGGTTTAAATGATGCATTACGACAAACAATACATATGAGATGGATTAACAATGAATGCCAAGTAAGTACAAGAATCGAAATGATGGTATGATGGAAAAAGATCGAAAAAATAAATTTCGAAAGAATAAGAGTACGAAAAAATGAAATTCCGAAAAGTCGCCATTCCGAAAAATAAAATCTTGACAAATTAGAATTTCGAAAAGTAAAGCCTCGAAAAACATGTATCACAAAAAATAAAATTTCGAATTATTCGAAGTATAGAATATCAGTATGAGAATCAAATATACGATTGTACCATCTTGAGGATGTGGGTGAGGGTGTGGGTGTGCGTATGGGTGGGGGTGTGGACGATCTATTTTATTCATACTTACAGTCATATCCACACTGGTTCGACATTTTATTTTTTCGATATTTTAAATGTCGGAGTGTTTTTTTCGAAATTTTTGTTCTCCGACATTTAGCATTTTGATATTTTTTTTTCGATCTTTTTCCAGCAATTCAAAATGATGCTATTACATCAATGTTTTTATTGTAGGTTATTTGTGCTACAGTAGCATTTGGCATGGGTATTGATAAAAATAATGTTCGATTTGTTATTCATTTTTCTATACCACAATCAATCGAGGTTGAGTATATTAATTTGAAATTGTAAAAGTTATTTTTGTTTAATATTGAATTAGGGTTATTATCAAGAATCAGGTCGAGCTGGACGTGATGGTGAAATAGCTAATTGTCATCTTTTTTTTTGTTATGATGATTATATTCGTATGAAACGACTTATATTAAGTATGAAAATACTCTTTTACTTTAATAATAATTAAATCTTATATATTAAGATGATGATGAATCAAAATCATCTAAACAAACCAAACAAGTTCGAATAAATAATATCAATCGTGTTTATGATTATTGTCTTAATAATGTAACATGTCGACGAGCACAGTATATTTAATAATAATACTAAAATGTAAACATATATGTTCTTTTGTTTTTCAATAGACTTTTAGAATATTTTGGTGAAATATTTTCATCATCAGAATGTAAAGGTACAATGTCAACTGAATGCGATAATTGTCGACAAGATTTTAGAACATCATCTCTTGATTGTACACGAATATCAATTGAAATATTAAAATTACTTTCCGATTTAAATCAAACAAATTCAACATTATCTTATATTATTGATATTTTACGTGGAGTCAATAATAAAACTATTCGAGATGCTGGTCATCATCGATTACGTGCATTTAATTTATGTCAACAATTAACTCGACTTGGTAAGTTTATGATTCATAATCCTCTATTAATTCTAAACTAAATCAATCTTCTCTTAGATGTTGAACGACTTATATCTCGTCTTATCACCGATGGTTATGTCAAACAAGAATTTATTGAACAACAATCATCGATCACAGCTTATTTACGTCCAGGTACTAATGCTATTCAATTAACATCATTATCATCACAACGATCAGGAAGTACGACAAAAATTCATATAGAATTAACAATTCGAATTGAACAAGTTAATAATGATCATGATGAAGAAATACAAAATCCGAAACAAAAATTAATTGAACAAATCAATGAACAATGTTTTATTGAATTAAAAAAAGAATTAAAATCGATTTTTAGTACATCATCGTATTCAAATATTATTTCTGAACAAACAATTAAAGCTTTAGTTAAATTAATGCCGTAAATATTTTTAAGAATTTTCTTGTAGAATTTTCATTCCGAATTTTTAGTCGATCAAAAGAAAAAATGATTAAAGATATATTTGAAATAACTGATGAATTATATAAACAACATGATTTTAATCGTTTATTACGTATTTTACAACGTTTTGGTAGTGAACGTGATGAAATCAAACGAAAAAATGTATCACAAAATTCATCAGATAGTGAAAATGAAATAGATTTTTCTGTTGATTTTACTGATCGAACAACACATAATAAAAAACGACCAACAGCATCTATTATAACAACAACAATTACTAAACGAAAACGAGCAAGTGGTGGTAGTAGTTTTTAAATAAATTTCTTTTGTCTTTGTACAGTAAAAATATTTAATCGGTTATTATTATTATTTTCTATTCTGTTGACATTAATTCTATTATTTAATATTCTAAAAAGATTGATTTATAAATAAAATAAAAGATTAATTATTATCATTTTGATTTCGTTCATTCAGTTTATACTTTACTCAAACATAGAGATCACAGAATAGATAAAAACCTTAAGATAAATTTCGACGTTAACAGGTTTCAGAATTTGGTCACAATGATAAGCTTCATCCATGGATAAGCTAAGAGGCTCAGACCGACTTGGAACCGGTCTGATTTTTTCGGACCGGCCGGTCCAAATTTGCCACTTAACTGGCAAAATACCGGTGCATTTCGTACATCAATTAAACAATTAGTACTTTCGAATAACAGTTCATTACCTCAGTTTGACGAAGATATCCGATATCCAACTCATAATTCTTAAAATTTTTAATATTAGTAGCTCTCATTTTGATTTGCCACGTGTTATCTGCTGAAATCAGGAGCAAAGGAAGATTTCTATCAAAAGTTTTTGACTAAGAACTCACAACAACTAATATTGAACAACATCTAACTATGTTTTAGCTGAGACTTTTTCAATAGTAATATAATTTCCGTAAGATTTATAAGTTTGATCTATTTTTATTTAAAATAATTATTTAATACAGCTGAAAAGCATCACAATCTACAAAAATGACGATATTGTATAAACAGATTGATAGAGTGAGCTAAAATATACCATTTTTATATTAGACATGCTATTTAAGATTTCTGAATATCCAAATATTTTCAGTTACGTGATGGTAGTTGTCAATAAGCTCTCTGCTACAGGACTCAATCATCTCTAATATTTTGGTATAAAAACATACCCTGAAAACTACTAGCTATTGCGATTAAAAGAGAATTGGCGAAAATTAGTCAAGAAAGCTCAAACTCTGGAGGTGAAAAATCTATAATTTCAGGATGGAAAAGTGTTAGTGAATATATACAGCTGAAATTTCGATAGTGAGTGAAAATCTTCAGGATCATATCCCTTGACGATTAATAATATGAAAATCGTTAAAAACGAGCAAAATAGGCAAGTTTTAGCGCCCTAAAAATTGAAAAAAAGACCGGTGAAGACCGGTCCGGTTCCAGGTCTGGGCTCGGATAGTAACTCTATTCTAGTGAAAATCATAAGAGCTGCTCAAGAAATTGTATGTTCTTTCTTGCAAATATTTTATCATATTCATAAACTAGCGACATCCTATAAATAATAAATTTTTTCCTATTAAAAAAAACTGTTGAAATATAATTAAATCAAAATGATATGGTAATTAATTAAAATATGAAAATATTCTTATATAATCATTGGTTAAATTATTCATTCGTGGATGAATGATATCGATTATTCATTCAATGATTTATTTCTAGAATTTATTGACTTTTTCTTTTTCTTTCTTTTCTTATCTGGGTCGGTGAAGGTGAATATTATCATTGTCGATCGTTCATTTTCTAAAATTAACAGTCTATTCATTTTTTGTTCTATTAGATTATAAATGGCTGCAATACGGAAGAAACTTGTTATTGTAGGCGATGGTGCTTGTGGTAATTGATTGATTAGAAAAGAATTTTCTATAAAAAAAAATAAATTTTCAATAATTATAGGTAAAACATGTTTATTAATTGTATTCAGTAAAGATCAATTTCCAGAAGTTTATGTTCCAACTGTATTTGAAAATTATGTATCAGATATTGAAATTGATGGAAAACAAGTTGAATTAGCTTTATGGGATACAGCTGGACAAGAAGATTATGATCGATTACGACCACTATCCTATCCAGACACAGATGTTATACTCATGTGTTTTGCTATCGACAGTCCAGATAGTCTTGAAAATATCCCTGAAGTAAGTTATATTTTACGGATAGATGAAAAATTCTTCAATGTATTTGATAGAAATGGACACCTGAATGCAAACATTTTTGTCCTAGTGTACCAATTGTACTCATAGGTACGTAAGAAATGCTGAAAAATCCAAATGAGACATATATTTTCTTTTCAGGTAACAAAAAAGATTTACGAAATGATGAAGCAACTCAACGAGAACTCATGAAAATGAAACAAGAACCAGTTAGATTTGAAGAAGGTCGAGCAATAGCTGAAAAAATTGGTGCTGTTCGTTATCTTGAATGTTCAGCTAAGACTAAAGAAGGTTAGTCGTTTTGAATTTCTCAAATTAAATCTTATTCTATTTAATTCAATTTTAGGTGTTCGTGAAGTATTTGAATTCGCTACACGTGCAGCATTAATGCGTAAAAAGAAACGAAAAGGTGGTTGTTTATTAATATAAAAAACAAAACTTCTTGTGTCTTTAATCGAGCCTGATAAATTTAAGCAATTTTTTTTCTTCTTCTTTGTGCTAGTGCACTTTAAACAAAACAAAAAAACGTTGTATTGTATAAATGTTATTTCTTTTGATTTATTGTACGCTTCTTTTTATAAATTTATTCATACAAAAAAAAAACAGAAACATTAATTTAATGAATTTTTTGATATTTAGGATTGACGATGTCATATATAATTTTGATAAAAAGAAAATGATTTATTATTTTTTTTTGTTTGAAATATAAATTGATGTTTCTTTCTATAAATTTTTATTCATACAAAAAAAACAAGTGAACATTTTACATAAACACAAAATAGAGTGTATTGTTAAACGAATGTTAATTTAACTTGATTTAAGTTTAATATGTTTCTTTCCATTGATAGTTTTTTCTTCGATATTTAAACGTTTTAAAATTGTTGCCAATTTTTGAACAATACCTTCTTTAACTTCTTTCGTTCGAGAGGTTTCA